AAATATTTCCTTTTCACATCGAAAGACCCGTATATTCATATTTAGTCACACATTGATTATGGTGTTACATTTCAACAAAATAAATTAAAAAGTTGGGTATATTGTTACTAACTTTGTTAGCTGAAAAGGTAGTGGTCATTCAGTTGAAAAGGACGATGTTGTAGCTGGTACATGTGATTGATGAGCTAGGAAGAGTTCTTTCATTTTCATTACTTCTTTCATCTCATCTTCTAAGGTAGACAAGCGATTGTTCAAGGATTTGTTTTCCTCAGTCAAGGATTTGTTCTCTTCATTCAAGGATTTGATATCCTCTCGCGTTGAACGTAGCGCAGATAACAATTCAGCTTTTGAAGAAGTTCCACCTTTCAAGTCTTTTGCCTTTACTCCACCCCCAAATCCAAATACGTGGCTACGAGTTTGAGGTCCACAACATTTTTCAACAATCTCTATGGTAGGTAGAGATGGATCTGCTTGAACCATTTCTTCGAGTTGAGCCTACAAAATAGATCAAAGAACATTTTCTATTATAACATACAACAATTTTAAGTAATTAACATATTTAATTTACAAAACGCACATGTTTTTCAATTGCTTCAGGTTCAACAAGCTTGTTATATTTCTTACGAGTCTCAAAGAAAATAGTTACCAAATCTGGTGGATTTCCACCTTTCCCGCCCTTTACATCAAAGTCAAACATGTCAAATAACACACACCTCATAAATATCACATTTAGAAAACTAATTTTATGATAATACCTTTTGATAAATAATCTCTCGAATAGGCTTGCTACCAATATGATGAAGCATCTTCAACTTTGCTCGATTTGCTGCATTCCTAATGCTTCTTGCTTGTATTTGTTCACAGTAAGCTTCTAGTGCAAGTACTTATAAAATGTAGATCACCAATCTTATGATCTTGAAAGTTGCTTATAAATGAAAGAAGCAGCGAGTTGATCCTAAGAGGATCAATGGAAATAATGAACCATAGATAGCTAGTACAATTGTGAATATGCTCTCATAATGGGGCTCTGCTCTTGAAAAAATTGGTCTATACTTCATACAATGAGTTGATAAATGTGGCTTTGCTAGATTCAAGAATAATAAATTAGGCATGGATTAGCTATTTGGTGCATCAAGAATACTAAGACACTACATAGTAGAAATGTTTTATACTTAGGTTTGTTTTTTAAGGTCTATTAGGTGCTAAGGAGGGAAATCAAACTGTAGAAAAGAGTAGAAAAGCAGATTATTAACTCAATAGGCATACCTGAAAATTTTCAGAAGCAAAATGTTCCTTTACTAACCATTCCCATTCTTTTTTGTCTACTCCTCTTGGGACATTCTTAAGAGACTGTTGTATAGGCTTGTCCTTCACATATTTTGCATGCAAGTGTCCTCTCCATTTGTTCCATAACTCATTCATCCATCAATCCCAAGATATGATCACGATGATCATTCATATCAACACTCTCAAATTTGTGCTACAACAATTGAAACATGAGTTGAATTATTATTTTCAGAAAAGAGAGAGGCATCATAAGTTGTACATCCTGTTATATGAACAAGTGCACATTACTTTTAAAACTTCAGTTAATGAACGATATAAATCAGAATCAGGTGTATAATGGATTCAAGATTTGTACAGCAGCTGCTATATTGACAAGAACATTGATGTAGCAGTTAACACCGCAAAATTAGAATCAGGTGTATAATGGATTCAAAAGTTGTACAATAAGTGTATATTAGTTACCTCAACGGCTGCCCACATGTGATTCAACTTTTCTTGCTCAATATCATGCCACGATGATACCCCCAAGGGACAAATATTACGATCACGCATAATTTTTCCCAAATGCCTCGAAAAAAGATTGCTATTGTTTCCAACCGTTCGATTATTGTAAAAGGTAACTTTTAGCTTTTGTCCAATTTCAAGTGAAGCAACTTGTTTGCACATGTTACTTCCTCGAACTCTTCTTACTTTTGTAGGATTAGATGAAAGTGATGAAACTACAACAACATAATTTGATAAAAACTATAGCAATCAAACTCAGTTCTAAAACTTAATAACATATGAATTCAAAATATCATACCTTTTTCTATTTTTTTAGAGTGGTTCATAACTTGATCAACAGATGGAGGTAATGTAACATTGGTTTGCATATCCTCTTTCTCAAGAACAATTTTTTTCATTTTTTGTATTTCATGATTAGAAGACATGTTAGAACTCAACTTTGTGCACTTAGAAGGAGTTTCCATATGCCGATTATCAAAATCAGCACTCTTGTTGAAAGATCCCACCTCATATTCAGAAATTCCCAAGGAGGAGCTCAAAGATCTAGTTCTTTTCTCTAGTCCCTTTCCTATAACACATGGACTCACTTAACATGATATTAAAGTTTATCAAAAAAATTGAAAGCACAGTATATTTGTAAAAAGTATAACATTTTCTTAAAAATCTTACTTGTTTCAACTTCTTGGGTGTATTTCTTAACTTGATTAGTAATAGGAGATGAGGTATTAATTTGCATATTCTCTTTCTTAGGAGCCATGGAGTTCTTATGCATCATTCGTATTCCTTGACTAGTGGACATGGTAGAGTTTTTATGTCCTTGTCCTTGGCCCTTCCCTATAGAACCTGAAAAAAATAAATCATACAACCAATACTTTAGCACTGTATTTTGGAGAGCAAGAAGCTGAAAATAATTGAATATCAATAGGTTCAGCCCTTTTCGTCTAAAATGATTGACATTCTGAATCTTCTCCTCCAAGAGAAAATACAGAAAGTTGGAAAAGATATTTCTTCTCAACACAAATAATGATTTTGCTATGCCTTGAAGTGAAAAAAATACAAAATATCTTACTTGCTTCAATTTCTTTGATGTACTTCTTAACTAGATCACTTGATTGAGGCAATAAACTCTTAGATGGCAAACTTCCTTTCTCACCCAAAGATTTAAGCCCTCGTCCTCGTCCCTTTCCAATAGCACCAGGCGCAACAAATGTATATTTTATAGTACTCTTCATATTAGAATCAGCCTCATTTTCAGTCTTCAATGATTTCATCTTGAACCTGCAAAATGAGCCAAAACATTAAAACTTAAACCTAAAAAACGTCTAATTATGTAGTAATAAAAGAAATTGTGTCATCATAACGTTGAATAATGAAATACTAATTCATAAAACATACTTCACCTCATTAGTTCTTTTTCTTTTCTTTTGGGAAGGACTTCCTAACTCTATAATATCATCATCCATTTGTTCCACAATCTCAAAAGAATCACGAGGTTGAGTCTTCCTCACTACTTTCCAACCTTTGTTGGAATTATCATTAGCATAAAACACTTGAGATGCTTGATTCGCTAAAATAAATGGCTCATTTATTTTCAAAAATCTACTTGGATTAACACTCACAAAATCATACTCATCCTTTTTAACTCCTTTTATTTCATCATACACATCGAACCAATTACATCGAAATAAAATCACTCTTCTATCCATGACAAATTGCAACTCAATCACATCTGTTAAAACTCCATAATAATCAAGGTTCTCACTGTCTTCATCATTCTCACCCAATACAACAACACCACAATTTTGAGTCTTTAACTTGTTATCACAATCTTCTACATGAAATCTATATCCATTAACGACATAACCATTAGAACACGTTGAATATTTAGTGGGACCACGTGAAAGTGAGAGTAGATCTTCCATGATCTGACTATCATCTTGTTTGTACAATTGTGCGGCCTATCAACAAGATAACATTTAATATTTTAGAATGAGTATTAGAATATTAAAATATCAAATTTTGATATTTATGTATTACTCACCCTATCTTTAAACCATTCAATAAATTGTCGGCTCCATTCTGCATCAGACAAGTGTCGAGCATTCTCATGAGTTTGTGCAAACTCTCTACAAAATTGAAGTGAACCATAAGTCTCGTACTGAAAATTAACTAACCTAAAAGAAATAAAATTAATGAGATGATATAAAAGAAATCTTCATACTTGAGATATGGTAAAACTTCATCACAATTTTTCAATATGTATATATATGCTTGTTCTAGTTCATATGTTTCAAGCTCACATGGATCTTTAGCTTCTAGAGTTTTTCTAGGTTGACTAAAAATAGATAAACCACCATTCGATTGTTTTAAACCACCATCATAATTTCGTTCAGGACGATTGAATCTTGTGTCAACTCTATGCAAATACCTTGAACATAAAGTCATACATTCATTTGCAATGTAGCCCTCTACAATACAACCTTCTGGACATGCCCTATTACCAATGAGAGATTTCAAAAAATATAACCATCGCTCCACAGGATACATCCACTGATAATGAATCGGTCCAGCAATATTAACTTCAATAGTTAAATGAACAGGTAAGTGCACCATGACATCAAAAAATGAAGGAGGGAAGACCTTTTCCAACTTGCAAAGTGTTATGGGTATTTGTGCTTCAATATGCTCCAAGTTTTCAATTCTCAACTTTTTTGATCCAAGCACACTAAAAAATATAAACAATTCAATAAGAGGTTCACACACTTCTTTGGACAACATACCACAAAGTGCAAGAGGGAGTAGATGTTACAAGAGAACATGACAATTATGACTTTTCAATCCAGATATCTTGTGATCTTTCAGGTTCACACATTGAGAAATATTAGATGAAAAACCATCAGGAACCTTTAGATTCTTTAAGAAAAGGCACAATTTGTGCTTATCTTTGGGAGACAATGTGTAGCATGCTTTTGGAATTTCAATTTTCTCCCATTTTTGGATAGGGTGCAATTCTGGCCTAATGTTCATCTCTAGTAAATCTAATCGAGTGTCAATTGTGTCCTTGGTCTTTCCTTTGATATTCATAATTGTCCCCATGATATTATCACATATGTTTTTTCAATATGCATAACATCCAAATTATGTCGCAATAAGAGACACTTCCAATATGGAAGTTCAAAAAAGATACTTTTCTTGTTCCAATTATCCATTCAGTTTTCATGTGATATCTTCTTTTTTATCTTAGGATCCTTTGATAACTGTACCCCTTCAAGATCTTGCGCTTGATTAAGTATCTCAATACCGGAACACACTTTTGGTGGAGGCCTTTTCTCTATTGTACCATCAAATGAGCCCTTCTCACTTCGCCATTTGTGATTTTGAGAAAGATAACGCCGATGACCCATAAAACACTGCTTCTTACCCTTAGATAATCGAATTGAGGAAGTGTCTTTATTGCAACATGGGCATGCCAATTTTCCTTTTGTACTCCATCCCGATAAATTTCCATATGCTGGAAAGTCATTGATGATCCATAATAAAGAAGCATGCAACTTAAAATTTTGCTTAGTTGATGCATCATAGGTCTCGATACCAACTTCCCACAACTCCTTCAATTCCTCTATTAAAGGTTGAAGATATGTATCAATTGCATCTCCTGGACCATTTGGACCTGGAATAAGCATTGGCAAAATAAAATGTTCTTGCTTCATACACAACCAAGGTGGTAAATTATAAGGAAGAAGAACCACAGGCCAAATGCTATGTGAGGTTTTTGAATTTCGGAATGGTTGAAATCCATCACTAGCAAGTCCAAGTCAAACATTTCGAGGCTCGGCCACAAATGAAGGATGAAGTTCATCAAATGACTTCCATGCCATTGAATCAGTCGAGTGCCTCATTATTCCATCTTCAACTCTTTTATCCTTATGCCATGTCATCAAAGTAGATGTCTTGGTAGACATAAACAATATCCGAAGTCTATACTTTAAAGGAAAATAGCATAAACTCTTTAATGCTATCTTTTTACCTTTTTTATTCCTTATTTCCCCGCTATGTGTATTTATTTTCCATCTCGACGCACCACAAACTTTGCAAGAATCAAGTAAGCTATCCTTCTTCCAGTATAACATGCAATCATTAGTACAAGCATCAATCTTATCGTATGAAAGACCAAGTTCTTTAATTATCTTCTTTGCCTCATAATATGAATTTGGCAAATTAGCACCATCAGGCAACAACTCCTCTTTCAACATTTTCAATAGCATTATAAATGATGCATTACTCCAACGACCCATACTTTTGATATGAAGCAATTTGATCAAAGTGGAAAGCTTTGAAGCTTTTGAATTTTGGTATAATGGCAACTCAAAATCCTTCAATAGGCTGTAAAACTTTTTTGCTTCATCATTTGGTTCCTCTTCAAGTAAGTCATCAGTATGTGTAGTTCCTCCATCAAGATTAGGATATAGGTCTCTCAATAGCTCTTCTACTTCATCTTCACTCTCACATTCTTCTATTGCATCATCGTCTTGTTCTTCATCTTTATATTCTAATTCTGATAATGGCTCACCCAAACGTTCTCCATGGTGATACCAAAACGTATAATTGCAAATTATTCCATGTACTAGCAAATGTGTCTCAACTGTTTTACGAGTTCCTAAAGTTGTATTGTAACATTTGACACACAGACATCGTATTTCATATTCTTCTCCTGTTTTTTGAAAAGCATAATCCAAAAACGTTTGCACACCGATCAAGTAGATTTCGTCGAGACGATTATCAACAAGTTGCATCCACTGCTTACTAGGTGCCATAACCTTTATGAGGACATAAAAAATTCTTTTAAAAATATAAAGAATAACCAAAAATATAAGATGCAAACAACTTGTTACGATCAGATAAACACAATAGGGTTGAAATCTAAGGATAGATGTCACTAAGAATTATAAAAGATTATAAGTTTACTTATAGAGCTAAGATGTTAGTTCCTAAAACATGATTTTCCTTTAAGCCTACCAAAGATTGGAGCAAGTAATTACACAAAACAATATACATTACGACATAAGATTATCTAAATAGTCATTTGATACTAAGAAAACTACTTGTTTATAGTTACTAAATAGTTAGTCTACTTGAATCTTTAAACAGTACATGAAGAAAGGACTAAGAAAATTACAAAATCACTAAAGATGTGAAACTAGTATATTATTCATACAATAATTAATTTTAAAAAAAAATTATATGCACTTTACATAAAATAATTGTCTATAGATAAAACCTGCAAAAGCAATCATAAAAGAGATGAATATAACTTGAAAAAATGATAGGGGAATGTTATCCTATATACATCGTTACAAGCTACAATTTTTTTTTGTACTTCCTGAAACACATAATCGCTAAAACCCCACATGGAGTTAGTCCCTGGAAACTCATAAGCAAGACTTAATACAGCTTAAAATCTCTAGTTCCCCACATACTTAGCCGCCGATATTCATAAACAATAGAAACATTGGGATTATGCAAATATATGTTTTTCACAAAATAATTAGGATTTTCAAATACAACATACTGTCAAATCGGAGGGTCAATGCCTTGGAGAATGTTGTGAAGCCTCGGTTGGAGAACATGGTTCTTTACATCAAGGGGGAACTTAATGAACTGGAAAGGGAGGATTTCTTTCGTTTGAAGAAGATACAAGGTTACAAGAAGAGGGAGGTAGAGAAGCAGATGGTTGCTGCCAGGCTATATGCAGCAGAGAAGGCTGCTGAAGATATTTCTTTAAAGAGAGCTATTTCGCTTGGTTCAGCCCATAACTTACTGTCCCATGTTTCACAGAAAGATGAGGATATTATTTTCTGATATAGAGGTAAGTTTTTATTAGTCGCATCTGCTGTCAAATATAGATGGATAATATAATTATCAGATGGAAAGATTTTTCCTATTCAACAAGAGTTCTGTGCATGTTTGTACTTAAAAAAAACACTGCCAAATTATTAGTTCAATTGCTTACTCCTTATACTCTGTTTTAAAACCATTCCTTGTCCAATACTGATGATCAAGAAACAAGAAAACAACAAAATCGAGTCAACTATATATATTAGAATGCTCAACCCAATAATCTTTCACTGACAAATACAAAAACATAGCAGATTTCCTTGTCCAATACTGATGATCAAGAAACAAGTAAACAACAAAATCGAGTCAAATATATTAGAATGCTCAACCCAATAATATTTTACTGACAAATAAGAAAACATAGCAGATTTTGAAACTTTTAACCTATTTAATGTTAGAAAAGAGGAAGAAGAAGATGACTAACTTGAGTAAAACAGCAAAAAAATCCATCAACACAATTTATGGAAGAAGCAAGAAACTCGATTTAGAAGAGGAAACAAACCTGGAATTCCTTTTTTTCGCAGCTAAGCAGCAACTACACAATGAAGAAGACAAAGGTGCTCTGAAAATTCACTGGCAAAATCGAGTCAACTATTAGAAACCACAACCCAATAATCTTTTACTAATTCTAAGGAAGAAAACAGAGCATATTATGAAAGTTTTAACCCATTATGTTAGAAAAGGGGAAGAAGAAGAAGACTAACTTGAATAAAATAAGAAAAAACGCATCATTCAATCAATGGAAGAAACAAGTAATTCGATTTAGAAGAGGAAACAAACTTGAAAATCTATTTTTTCACAACTATATGCAGCAGCTACACAATGAAGAAGACAACGCTGCTATGAAAATATATTCACTGCGTTGATATTGGGCAGTGTCGAAGCAATCTTATTGATGAGGTGATGATTTGAAGAAAGCTAGGGTTGCGACCATATAGACTATTCTAAAAAAAGGAAGAAGGAAAGACTATTCCTATTCCACATACGTTTATTAATTTTCTGGAAAAAAGAGCGGGTCTTTTTTTTTGGCTAATGAAAAAACACTTAGCGCCTAAATTTTGGTTAAAACAAATTACAAGTTTATTTTTTTAATATTTCAGTATTAAATTTTGGTGGATGTAATTCCCGCTAATTCCTTCAATTAAAATTTGGGACCAGTTATTAAGTTCTTTAGGGACCGAATTTAGTATCTTCACTATAAAATATTAATATATAAGGACCAGAATATAATATCGTCCCAATACATATATCATTAGGGAAGGGATTACTAGCTCGTCACTAAATGTTGGTCTTAACAAACTTGTTTTCTTGTAGTGACATAACTGAGGAATGTACAGAAAAGACCATTACGGATGTGATTCACGAACCGTGGGTCCATTCACGTTCCGTAGATAATGATCATAGATGGACTAGCAAGGCATGGAGGAAGATCAGGGAATTTTTGACCAAGTGTGTAACCATGGTTTCAATCGACGGACCGTAGATTGATCTACGGACCGTACTGCTGATCCATCAAATGATTCAGAGAGAGGTTCCAGTACCTGATTTTGAAGATTCTAAGTATGGAGCTACGGAGGAGGATCCACGGACCGTAGATCAATCCACAGTCTCTATTGGTGATCCGTTGTTTGGTTCAGAGATTTGAAGATTTTGAAGTTAGAAATTTGCCTAAGTCCTAAGTCACGGAAGGGACCTATGGACCGTAGATCAATCCATGGTCTGTAGGTCAGTATCATCGATCAAAACCACGTCCTGAAACATTATTTCCTTATTTCGTTTCCTTTTTAGTTAGGACTTATTTTTCTATATATATATATATATGGCATGTAAACCACGTTTTTGGGGTTAGACTTTATTACTTTTAGTTCTAGTTTTTAGCTTTGGAGATTAACTTGCAGTTTTTGCAATTCTTGATTTCCTAAGTTCGTTTTGAAGATTTTGACTTTCAAATTCAAGTTGAGATTTTGGGTTTATTCATCTCATTACGTAAGTTCATGATTTCTTCATCTAAAAATATGAATTGTGTTCTTGCTACTATGAGTGACTAAATCCACAACTAGGGTTGTGGGAACCATGAGCGATTAACAAAGTATGAATAGTAACTAAGTAATTCTTGAATAGTGTTGTTGCATGCATTGATAATTCTTTCGTTTAGAATTCTTTTTAACGAGTGCACGCGTTAGAACTCACCTTGTTGCTACTTGCCGGACTAAGGAGGTAGTTAATAAGAAAAGAATTATCAACATAGATTTAGTGTGATACTATCTAATAGTCTAATGTCGATTGGTGCAAAGGTGAAAACTAAGACATACATCGATGTGATGTCTAATATGAGGTAAAGGTAAGGATTAGTAAATTATACACACGTAGCCGGGCCAAGGTGTGGGGTGAAATTCTCTAGTTGTCAGACCAAGGAATTAGAGATACCTAACTTATCACTTTGCATGTAATACACTGGGAAAGAATTGCTATTACTAGGATTACCGTGTTATGAGCTTAAGGGGAACACGTACACCCTAGTTTCTCTCTCATCTTGATAACAACAAAAGTTTGAATCTTGCTCATTAAATACTTACATAATTTCCTGAATTTGTTTCACAAATCCCCCCTTTTAATTATTTGTTTCGGAAGTACGTTGACTAAACGAATATAATCGTGGGTTAAAGTTAAGTCTAAACCATATTCCTCATGGGATCGACCCCAACCTACAATTGGGTTCTTCACTTGATAACGATCGCTTATACTTCTTTAGGGAGGTGTAATTTGAGTGTATCAAATTTTGGCGCCGTTGTCGGGGAATTGGTCTTTTAGATTAAGTTTAACTACATTAATGAACTTTAGTCAAATATTTTATAATTTTACTTTTCCTTTTGTTTTTGTCTCTCTCAGGTTCCCACTCTAGTGTATGCCAAGTATACGGAGTCAAGGAGAACCACTTACTCCCTATGATCCAGAAATAAACTAAACTTTATGGATTTGTTGTTTGGTTTAGAGATTTGAAGATTTTGAAGTTAGAAATTTGCTTATGTCCTGAGTCACGGAAGGGACCTACGGACCGTAGATCAATCCATGGTCTGTAGGTTAGTATTGTCGATTGAAACTGCGTCCTGAAACATTATTTCCTTATTTCGTTTCCTGTTTAGTTAGGACATATTTTTCTATATATAGAGCATGTAAACCTGTTTTTGGGGTTAGACTTTATTACTTTTAGTTCTAGTTTTTAGCTTTGGAGATTAACTTGCAGTTTTTGCAATTCTTGATTTCCTAAGTTCGTTTTGAAGATTTTGACTTTCAAATTCAAGTTGAGATTTTGGGTTTATTCATCTCATTACGTAAGTTCATGATTTCTTCATCTAAAAATATGAATTGTGTTCTTGCTACTATGAGTGACTAAATCCACAACTAGGGTTGTGGGAACCATGAGCGATTAACAAAGTATGAATAGTAACTAAGCAATTCTTGAATAGTGTTGTTGCATGCATTGATAATTCTTTCATTTAGAATTCTTTTTAACGAGTGCACACATTAGATCTCGCCTTGTTGCTACTTGCTAGACCAAGGAGGTAATTAATAAGAAAAGAATTATCAACATAGATTTAGTGTGATACAATCTAATAGTCTAATGTTGATTGGTGCGAGGGTGAAAATTAAGTCATACATCGATATGATGTCTAATATGAGGTAAAGGTAAGGGATAGTAAATTATACACACGTAGCCGGACCAAGGTGTGGGGTGAAATTCTCTAGTTGGCGGACCAAGGAATTAGAGATACCTAACTTATCACTTTGCATGTAATACACTAGGAAAGAATTGATATTACTAGCATTACCGCGTTATGAGCTTATGGGGAACACGTACACCCTAGTTTCTCTCTCATCTTGATAACAACAAAAGTTTTAATCTTGCTCACTGAATAAT